GTAACCTAGGGAAGGTTACTGAATAGAATAATCACACGAAGGTTGGTAATGAATGATAATACTTAGGACACGAACAACACATATAAGATTCGCCAGCGGAAGAAGTAGTCAACTGCTAGAAGTGAGTCAAGTGAATTCCACAATGAATCTCCAACTGCTGGATATCTACCAACTGTCCCACGTGGTCAGATGCGGCACAAGGCTAAAGTTAATGTGGGGTATCCGAACCCGTAGGCTCGGCCAAAAATTCCTCGTAACCCCATATAAAACGGGGTTGGGTAGCTGTTTCCAGAGGCGTGACTCTGCCCTTCGACATAGCCTCGTCAGGTGATCCTCTCTGCCCGAAGGCAGAGAGTTTGACCAGCACAACTGGAGACGAATCTCCAACTGCAGACCAACATACAGTATTTACTACTGTATTTATGTGAATGCGGACATGCTTATTATCGTCCGTAGGTATGCTACCTCATATATGGAATTAATACAAATATAAATTTATTATGTGGGGGTGAGTCTTGGTGCGTTTTTACAGCTCCTTAACACTTCTTTTTGAGTGTTGTTCAAATGTTTTAATTTTTACGAAAGGAATGGTGAAAATAGTATGGCTGGCAAAACGTTATTCTCCGACGCAAAGTTCCCAAACAAAAAAAGAAAAAATTATAATCTCGGAAGAAAAGGAAAAAAAGAAGGAAAAAGAAGACCACCATGAAGCTATTTAGAGCAAAACATCGTCTGCTTTTTTTTTTAAAACTGTTTCAGGTAAACACATTTTCCACAATAAAAATCGAAGGAAGAAACATTTAACTCTTCATTAAAAGCGATTTTCACATCAATAAAAGAAAAACTAAACAACATAACGTAAAAACCAACCATGTCATATAGGGTGTTCCAATAACTTGGACCGATTTTAATGTGAATTAATTTTAAGCGTTTAATATTTTTTTCTTTTTCTTTAAGATTTGGCGGACATTTGAGATATATTATTTTTTACACATAATTACCATGACTTAAATAACATGATCCAATAGAAAAATAAATAAATTATCACCAATAACACTGATTTATTTACTGCTGATTTTGATCCCTTTTAATGAAACACCCTTATATATAATCCGTCTCAATGAAACACCTATTTTTAAGAGTAAGTAAATTTAGTGAAGAATCCCAATGAGGCCAGGCCAATTGTTCCAGGAGCAGGAAAGCAGCAAAGGAAAAATGGCAAAGAGACATTCGAGCTAAAAGAATACTGGAATTTCTGACTGGTACTATAGCAAATGTCAATGAAAAAAAAACTGAAAGCGAGATTCGAACGCGTGCCACCAGAGGACGAAACAGATACACTAGCCACTAGAACACACGGGATGACTGACAGAAGGAAAATAAGCAAGAATTTCTGATTTATTACAAGTAATAATCATCAGTGTAGTGTGCTAAATTTCACTGAAACATCAAATAATGGAGACAAAAACCTGGCCTTCTGAGTGAAGGTTCGGAATCATAACCACTAGACAACGTAGGAGGACCGGCAATGTCGATGGCAACCATTCGGGATCGTTATCAGCAGAAATTTAGAAAATATAGCAGAAAATATGTGAAAATTCCACGTTAAATAAAATACGACACTGAAATCCGAAGGCGCATTGGGATAGCGAAAGATGCTTTCCAAAAGCTAAGCAGAGTATTAAGAGACAGAAAAGTTTCGTTAGAAACAAAGAAAAGAATACTGAACAGTTATGTAATGTCAGTTCTCTTATATGGCACTGAATGCTGGACAATCTAGTCACAGATGAAAAGATACGAAGCTAAAGAAATGTGGCTCTACAGAAGGATGTTGAGAATACCATTGGCTGAACATGTGAACAACGAAGAAAGTTTTAGAGAAAATGAAAACAAAAAGGAGCGTAATACTTAACATCAGAAAGTGACAGTTGAAGTTTCTAGGATATATAATGAGGAAAGAAGGCTTGGAAAATTTGACACTTACAAGACAGATGAAAAGCAAGAGAGACAGACGAAAACGGCGCATGCCTTACCTAGCAAAATTTGCGTAAATGTTTGATGGACTGATAGAAAAAGAGGTATAAACGACAAGAAATTGTGGAGAGCCATGACCGGCAATGTCCTGAAGAGAAACCTCACAGAGAATAAGATTACAACTCATACCTATTCCAAACAGATACAGTTTATGGAGCTAGTGGTTCTATATGATCTAGAGGTTACGATTCCTGACTGTCATCAAAGCGACCCGAGTTCGATGTCTCAAGGACATATGGCTCAGTGGATAAAAGTGTTGCTTGGATTCAGTGACTTAAACCAACGAGTTGTGAGTTCAATACCTGGCTACTGCAGTGGTGAACAAAGACATGGAGAATTGAGTTAAAGGGAGATAGCTGAGACATCCGGAAGAGGCATGGCACGTGGAACTAGAACAATCTACCCCGATGGGCGAAATAAATGGTTCAGTTGGAAATTATAATCTTCTGAAGAAGGCCGGAGCGTACAAAGACCGAAACGTCGTGAAAATGGCAATAAAGATGAGGAGAATAGTCCGAACAATGCAAATAATCTATAATAAATCCCTGTTCGGCCAACCATTTACGCAAGCTCGTTAAGCAGGTTATTCACTGCTTTCCTCTGCCTCTCTTGCCTTGTGTGTGTCATATTCTCCAAGCACTCTTTTCCTATTATTTATCCAACAATTTCAACTGTCTCTTTCTGGTTCTAAATATAAAGGTCCGTTGCCAATTTTCCTTAAAACTTCCTCGCTGCTCAGATGTTCAGCATCCATCTGTAGACTCAATTCTGTTGCTTCAAGTCTCTTCTTCATCTGTGATGTCCAGTATTCACCGCCATATATGAGGATCAATATTGCATAACAATCCAGAACTCTTTTGTATATAGACAGATATAGATACGTACTGTTGCAAGATAATTTGTAATTAATTGTTGTAATTAAATTGTAATTAATTAATTCTATTTAATTGTATACTAAATACTTATTGACGTAAATTTCTTCATTTCTAACGACAGTGTCTAAATAGATTGACATGTATAGAGGTACGCATTGATGTAAATTACTGAGAATTCTGGGAACGTTCCTCGTTGCTTAATACATTCTTTTCCCAGTTTCTATCCATTCGAACAATCTTTTCTTTCTCATTCTTTCTCTCCCTATTATCTCGCTCTTTCTCATTCTTTCTCTTTCTCATTCTCTCTCATTCTCTTTCTCCCTATGTTATTCTTCTTATTCTCTCTCTTTTTCTGGTCTCTCTTCCTCTGACTCTCTCTCTCTCTTACACACACACACGCACGCACACACACACACACGCAATCTCTCCTTTTCTCTCTTTCTCATTTTCTCTCTCTCCCCCCTCTCTTCCTCAATCTCTTTCACATTCTCTCTCACACACACGCGCGCACACACTCGCTCTCTCCTTTTCTCTCTTTCTCATTTTATCCTTCCTTTCTCGCTCTCTCTTTCTAAATCTCTCTCCCGCTCCCTCTCTCACAGATTCTCTCTCCCTCTGTATCTCTCACACACTCGCTCTCTCTTTCTCATTCTCTTCCCCCCTCTCTCTCTCATTCTCTCTCTTTCTCATTCTCTTTCTCCATTTCTTTCTAATTCTCATTCTCCCCCCGCTCTCTCTCTCACACACTCTATCTCTTGCTCCCCTTTTCTCTTTTTGTTATAATCTATCAGTTTTCATATACAATCTCTCATTGACTTCATTCAATTGTTTTTCCTATTTACCGCTCCCTCTTTCTTCCACGCACACACCCCACTCCACACTTTCTTTCTACTTATTAATATCTTTCTCCTTAAAGTCAAACGTCTGCATTTTTCCAAAATTAAAACAAAGCAAAAAAAAACCCTAAATGTAACACTTGTGACTTACAAGTCCCCGCCCTCTTACCGTAGTTCTTAATGACTGTGATATTATCTCTTATTCTCCTGCTGCGTTAAAGATCCTATGGAGGATGTTGGTAAAGAGGAAATCCAAAACTGCTCCACTCGGCCCATCATATCAGATTCTTGCAACCATTCGAGGACAACATGTGACACTAAGTACGTTAATATAATTGATTCCTATTTTTTTGCTTAGAATGCTCAATTTTTGTTCAACCAATTTTTCAAATTCATCCACCCAAATGACAAGTGTCCCTAACCTATATCACAATAGGTATGAATTCTTTGTATGTCACTCTTAGTCAAGGGAACACCCGCCGTGGGGTAGCATTTAAGCGAACTGGGCTCTGAAGAGGACCTCAGCAACTGCGCTTTTAGACCAATATACTTGGTGGCGTCGGCCATTTTGGTCGTATTTCAATTGGATTCAGTAAAACTTGAACTTACTAAACACAATTCGGGATGTTCCTTGCTTCGGATCGATGTAAGATTTGAAATAAACCAAGTCAGCGATTCTTTTAGTAACGTCGAGTTGTTCGCGGCAGGTTTAAGCGCCTATTAAATTAGTTGCGTTACATGAAATATAGACTCATTGAAAGCCCTTATTGTTTCGTTGGACTTTAACCAAGGACTCCGTTACGCCAAGAAAACTTAGTCAACGGTGAAAGCTTAGAAACGTTATATTCGAGAAATAAATATTTAGAAATTGTATATAAATATGAATTATTTGCCCTTTGTTTAGAACAAAAATCATATCTGTTATTATTATTATTGTTATTATTATTGTTGCTGTTGATGTTTCCTTTGATTTCTGTTGTATACTCATTCCCTTTCGGGTTCCAACCAAGGACCTAAGGTCAGAAATGGCTTCATGACATTTTCCCTGACAATTTTTGTTAAAAATAAGAAAAAATAGGTGGCAACCTAAGATCGTACACAGCAATAGCAAAAGAATAAACGTTATTAAGAGCTACAAAGGATAAGAAGTCGTGGAGAGACATAATCGGGAAAGTTCTGAATGGACAGGGTACATGGGTTTGTGCAGGCAGTTTATCTTCACTCGATGCTTTCCTGTTGGTAAATGACTTAAACAATGCCTTTCTTTCTTTCGAATTTAATTTATATCCATCAATGTGTAGGTGCTGAAAGGTTTGGGGCTTCATCAAGTAGCGATTTAAAATTAAGCAAATCGATCATTTGGGAAGTTTTTTTTTCGATAACTTATCTATCTTCGACTGTTCATATCTATCTATCTATCTATCTATCTATCTATCTATCTATCTATCTATCTATCTATCTATCTCAGTCTGTTCATATCTATCTATCTATCTATCTATCTATCTATCTATCTATCTATCTATCTATCTATCTATCTATCTCAGCCTGTTCATATCTATCTATCTCAGTCTGTTTCTATCTATCTATGTGTATGTGGATGTCTGTGTATCAACAATGTGCATAAATAAAATAAAATAATTTATATATATATAAATTATTTGAAATATATATATATATATATATATATATATATACATATGTGTGCATATATATATATAAACACATACGTATATATGCATGTATACACACACACGCACACAAAAATATATATATACACAGCAAATAATATTTTGTGATTTTTATAATGCATTCTTTAACAACGGATATTATTACTTTAAAAGCAGTTGAAAGTTGAAAATTTAACTGATAGAATGAAAAAATCAAATAATAAAAAAAATCAAAGGGGTTTAAATCTTCAACAAAATATTAGGTTCAAATCATCATCACAACCACCATCATCATCATCGTCATCAGTATCATTGTCATCGCCATTATCATTATCAACGTCTTCTTCATCATCATCATCGCATCGTAATCGTTATCACTATCATCATTATCATTGTCGTCATCATAAACATCACCATCATAATCATCGTCACCACCGTCATCATCACATCATCGCTCATAACCATCATCATCATCATCATCATCCAAACTGCACACAAAAGATATATAATTAAAATCTATTGACAATTGAATATTGATGGTTTTTATCACATGTCAGGTTCATGACAAATGGAAAATAAATAGAAATTAATTTAAAATCAAAAAATCAGAACACATTTTACCTTATTTTATTGCTTATTTTTATTCCAGCCTTACCGAAAAAAAAAGTTGAACATAGATTACTTTGAGTGTTCTGTCTGTGTGTATTGTGTAGTCCCATAAATAAAATTGTTACAGGTCCTATCTCCGTAACCAGGTCTGAGTAGTGTTCATACCAATTTCTTGCAGTTTCTTTTCCGTGAAAATTGCAGATTTTCCAGTGCATTTTGGGCTAACATAATTTTTCAGTATGCGTGTTTGGTAATTTCTAGTTAGCAAGCATTGGTCCTAAACAGCAATAATAAAACCATCGGCTCCAGCTTTTAACCTTGCAATACGTAGCCACTGATGGGTATAGATTTTGTCTACATCAAACGGGCAGAGTATTGACCGTAAAGCGGTTTATCTTGCCATCGTTTCTGTATTTGGTCGGTTGCTTTTGCCTTTGCTTTCTTTTTTTTTTTAAGTATTTTGCAGCCGCAGTCGGTGTGTTATGCTTTTACTTGCATTTCTTCAACCATTTAAAACTTCATTTCGAACTTGTTAGCTTCCTTTATAACTGAATAAAGTTTTCTTACTTCTTTCATGTTCTTTGACACAGATCATCATCCAGTCTTCTGTAGTTTCCAGTTATCTTTGAAGGCCAATTGTTTTAGTTTTGTAAGACATTTCTAGTTGAACTAATCCTCTGCCTCCTTCAATTCTGGGAACATACAGCGATCGACATCAGCCTTGAGATGGTGCATGTAATGGCAGGTGAGAAGCTTTCTAATTTTAGCGCCCATTAGCTTAACGTTAGCTATGGTCCAGTTAAAGGTGTTGCATCTGTATTACAATACAGGTAAAGCCAAGCTGTTTATAACTGATATTCTGTTTTGTGAATTCAGCTTGTACCAGAAGCACACTAATAAATATGCATTATATAAGTTAGTGATGTACTCAAATGCCACATTTTTAGAGATTTCCACATCAAGATCCTTGTATTTGAAGATCTTCAAAGATACATTGCAATCTGCAGGGACTTCCATATCAATAAAAAAGCATCTTCTGTTTTTGTGGTCTTTGATCAAGATGTCTGGACGATTAGCTTTGATTGTTCTGTATGTGTATTATTATTATTATTATTATTATTATTATTATTATTATTATTTCCTTTGATTTCTGATGTGTACACATTTCTTTCCGGGTCCCGTCGAGAGACCTAAGGTCAGAAATGGCATCATGACATTCTCCACTGACTAATTAAACACACACACACAAACGCACACCCACAAACACACACCCACACATATTTTACATAAAGCCCTTCGTAAGGTGCGGGCTGTATTCGTGAAAACAATCTTTTGTATTTCTTTAAGGCATGGCCTTCCAGGAACCCCTTCAATGAGTCTACTGGAATCTTTTCTAACCAATCCGAGGGTCCCAACTACAAAATTGTTGATGGTCCCATGTGCCACATTTTTGAGATTTCGATTTCAAGGTCCTTGTATTTTGATAGCTTTTTGAAGATCTGCAGCGACTCCCATGTAAATAAGGAGGCAATTTTTTTGTTTGTGGTCTCTAATGAGAATGTCTGGGTAGACATTATTATTATTATTATTATTATTGTCACATATAATATCACCCATTTTTATCATCATTATTGCTTTTATTATTACCTTATACACATCGTCTAGTATTCTCGCATATACAGTCTCATTATCACACTAGTACGACAAAGTGGAAAAGTCCTTTTCGGCTACATAGCTTTCTCCTAATAGTAGGCGCCATCTGACCGGAGTACGAGACAGACAAGTGTGAGAAAAAAAAAAGGAGGAGAACAAGCAATAAAAATCTTTTATCGGGTGCCATGACAAAAGGATCGGTGATGACCACACCGACGTTTTTAAATACCAGCTGTATTTGAAATTTTTTGGCCAGTTCAAAAACACTATTCAGTATCAAAAGCTGACTTCGATGCCATGAACAACCGACAATTTTGTGATATCCCCCTAAAACTTTATTATACTTCCACATCTCAAACCAAATAGAAAACCTAAAAATATACAAGATTTGGTTTGGTTTGTTTTGTTTTACGGCATATCAACCTCAATGGGTTATTTAATGCCGACAAAATTTTCATTGTTGCTAATATTTTTTCTTTCAAAAAACCTATTTCTGGTAATATTTTTTCCTTCAAAAATATATTTCTGGTAATAATTTTCCTCCGTTGGTAATATATATATTTTTAAAAATGTATTTCTGGTAATAATTCTTTTACAAAATATTCCTGGTATTAAAACCTATTTTTACACTTTCATAGTGTTTTGACCCAGTTTAGGGGTATTTGCCTATTTGCCCATAGCTGGAACCCTAACAGATGCTACCACCTCTGGTCAGGGAGAAGCTGGGAACATCAGCAACTAAGAGGTGGTTCCACGCTCCTCAAAACTTTCTGATCCGAGGCCTTGCTGTTGGACGTAGTTTATTGCCTTACACCAAGACGCGGATGTAGTTTATCGTCATACCAAGGGCGGAAAAATATACAAGAATATCATTGCCATTAATATATATATATATATATATACACACACATATATATATATCGGTAAATAATCGATAAATGTTATCAGTAAATTTGCAAAAGTTCATATTAATTTTTATTTTATATTATTTTCTTCCCGAATACTTTCAAATGTTGATACATTCGTTTTCAAGGATTGTTCTGTGTAGATTTATGCAAATATTTTTTTAAAATTTTAAGCCACTCATTGTTGACGTCATTTAACGGGTCAAACTGAAATAGTTATGTGTATTTTTTTTAAACACGCTTTAATATACGGTCCATTATCTAATGTTGGCTGCTTCTCTTTTATTACAAGAACATCCAGAATGCTGAATCTTTGGAAAGCACTCGGAAAAAATAATAGGGCAAAGAGGAATTTGGCAAATTTAATAACAAAACATAAAACAACATTCGGAAAATTTGAAAAAAATAATAAAACATTTCAATGAATGTGATAGACGGAACTTGTCGAAATTATTGAAACTTTTTGAAAAAATTATTGCTGCCGAAATACATCTTATTTATCTCTCTCTCTCTCTCTCTCTCTCTCTCTCTCTATATATATATATATATATATATATATATATATATATATATAATTATTTATGAGATTAAAACAAAAAACATGTTAAAAATCGATACACAATAGCTTTCTTATTTCTTTATATTTCATAAGCAGAATATCTGCTCTTTCGTTGAAAGAGAAGAGAAGCGTCTATTCTGCTTCCGAAATTTAAAAATAATTTTTTAATCACCAATTGTTTGCCATCGCCTGAAGAAGCATAACTCTAGTGCTAAAACATAAACGCTATTGTTTTGCAATTTTAACATGATTTTTTTTTAACCTCGTATAATAAATAATATTAAGCTCTACTCTTTATTGAGCCCTTTTAAAATTAAATGCTAGCGACGGTGGAATTATACTTCATTTGTTCTTGTTTCATACCTAGAGATACATACATATATATATATATATATATATATATATATATATATATATATATATATATATATATATGTAAATGTATATTTGGCCATCTTTCATTAAGCATGGCAGACAAGGAAGATTTAATTGATTTTTTATTAAGCATCCTAAGACTTTTCCGTTTAGTAAGAGTAAGGGAGTACAGAAATTATCCATAATTTCCATTGTGCCGACCGCTTGCGGCCACTTCTTTAGTGATTTTAAGGCGGGAATTTGGTTTTAGTGTTGTTAGTTTTTCCTCGTGTTTTTGCTATTTAAGTTGTATATATTATTTTTGTATTGTTTTGTATTTAGTCCCAACCTTCGCTTGCTGAGTGCGGCTGAAATTCGCTTGACCATCTTTCTATTTAAAAAAAAAAACTTTTAACACTCCATTCCCACTATATTTTTGATATTAGAAGAGAAATGTATATCGGGTCTCCCTAATAGCGAGTTGTTTCAGGTAATGTGATTTATATAAATTTTCGACCAGAATTTTGTTTTTATATATATATATATTTTCTATATATATATATATATATATATATATATATATATATATATATATATATATATTTCCAAGCGGATAAAATCCAGCTAAAGCTCTCTGTTCTGTTAAAGACAGAGCAAAAATATAATATCAAAAGTTCAAACACTAATAATTCATGGCTATAATTACATTGGAATTGTAACTAATAAAACCAATTCATCAAACCAATTCATCAAACCTACAAATTTATATATATATATATATATATATATATACATTAAGAAAAATTCTGTCTGAAAACACCTGAAGATGGCGCCGTGCATGGAACTCAGAGATAATATGTATATCTATCTATCTATCTATCTATCTATCTATCTATCTATCTATCTATGTGAGTGTGTGCGTGCGTGTGTGTGTGCGTGCGTGTGTGTGTGCGTGCGTGTGTGTGCGAATATCGTTCGATATTTCTACCTGCAATTTGATTGATTGATAAACTACTAGGAGTCATGTTAAGTTATCTTGTTATACCGTAAATAAGTATTTGAGCAAAATTGGGATTTGCTCTAACCAATATTTCATCGCTGAGGTTCTTTCTCTGTCAAATTATAATTTCACTTACAAACTTTATTTTTTTTTTCACCTCTCATTTGTAATTGCTTTTTACATTTGAACGAACCAGAAAATCTGGTTTTTACTCATTAACGAAAAAAAATCTGCCAAACTGTTTACTTTTGAAGCCAGGCAAAGAGATCGTCACCGACTTTCACCAAATCTCCTTCCAGTTGATTACGATAGAAAACAACTGCTTAGACTCAGGTTTCACATTTTTTTCCCTCCGTGAACATTAATGACTGGAGATCAGGTTTATTTTCTATAATTTATGAAGAAGGATTCGCTTAGATGATCGAGATCCCTCTGAATTGCATTACTAAATTAAACCTGCTTGGCTAATTTCATTTCAGCACATCTACTTTTAATATATCTGACATATGAAAGCTAACATAGATTATCACACATTCGTACACAAACACGTCTTTATACACATACGAGTATCAGGCAAAATAAAGTTTGCAGGCAGTTTGTATTACTAGAATGCTTTTTTTTTTTACAAAACGCTCTTGAAATCCTCGCAGTATTTACTATTACTGAAGTTATCGCTAACATGTGTTGTCGAGGTTTAAAAATTCTACGTTTCGTTCAATTTCGTAAACCAATCGATGAAATGTAAGAACGTAAAGAAAATGTATGCAAAAAACAACATTGCATTTTTAAAAAATAAGTAGTTGTTATTTTAAGCATCAAATTGTTTTTTTTTTATAATAGTGTGAATATTTTGTATGTTAAATAATAATTTTTAAAATTATTCTCTAAAAATATCATGAAAATTTATTAAACTAACCTACGCATCTTAGTAAAACCAACTGTAAGTTGTATCCCCTTACCTGTTTGCACTTCTTCCCAAAATTTGATTTCAATCGGTCAATATATGGCTATTTTAGAGAGTGTGTCGGACGGACTAACTGATGTCAGAATTTTATATGTAGAATATTGTTTAAATTGACAAGATAGTCTTTATGGTCGGTATTCAAACCCAGATGAAATATAGGATTTTGAACGTTCGTTTTCAAACCAGAGTCTTCATTTGGAAGAGTGGCGCAACACTGTCTTCCTTGCTGTATTCAGGTTCTGCATAGGCTTAGTACATATTTATATTAAGATACTTTTTAAGTTGAAAATAATCATGATTTGAAACCCAGATTATTATCCTCATCTTGGTTACTTATATACTAGTGTACTCGTGCCGTCAAAATTGACGACAAGAAGAAATGTATTATAAATAATATGTATTATATTGTAAATAAACGTTTCGTTTAATCCAAGAACAATTTTTGTCTGTGTAATAATGGAGGGGAAATGCGCAAAATAACGATGACCCACCCCCGGGCCAAATTCAAGTTATATTTGTTTTTGGGAAAAAAAAAACTTTAGTTAGATAAAAATTCCAACTTACATCACCTGAAGAAGGCAGGAGCCTATAATGACCGAAACATGACAGTAAAGATGAGGACAACAGTCCAAACACTGATAATAGTGTAAATAGTATTTCCATTGTAGAGCCATTCCTTTCCATTTAATCTTTAGCTGTGCTAGGGCTTGATGTTTTCCCTTCAATCTTGTTCTTCGAGTGAAATTGGTTGCTGTCCCCCCTCTACTATTTCGATTTCCAGTTTATTGAGTTTGATTCTGAATTTAACAGCTTCACGGTGCACTTATAATGATTTCTTCGTTTCTTCATGTTTGGTGTTCAAGTACGTGTCAAGACCGATGATGATTGTCTTGTACGCCATTTCGATTTTTCTAATACCTGTCCACCTGATGCCCTGGGCAGGTAAACTTTATCAACGTCTATTTTAGGGTAGTCCATTTTTTCAAGTTTCGGCAGTTTTATTGCCTTTCGGTCTATTAGTATTTCCACAGATATATAAAATTATTCCGCAGTAAACGATATTTTTTATTGAACATCGCGTATAAAAAGATGATTTACTGATTTGACTTTCAACAGGCGACCATTTAAAGTGAAGAATATAAAGATTGAAATATTCGGCATTTATTCAGCTACAAAAATTATTAATAACTAGCGTACCCGTTCCGTTAAAATTGACGACAAAAAGGAATATATTATAAGTAATATGTATTATATATATTGTAAGTAATTATCGTTTAATCCAAGTACGATTTTGAATATAAAAATAGTTCGTTTTTAAAGTTAATAATTGAACAGTGTACAATTTATAAACACCCCAGGAAGGATATCCTTATATTATCCTATAAATGTTACATATTTACAAGCAAGTTTTTTTAACTGCAAAATTTCCCAAAGCACAATAACGTAAAGCTGTTCATCCTTCTGTTGGGGTTTTTTGTTAAATGCCAAAATTCTGAGTGTCGAGATTCAATACATTTTAGTTCTTACTGTGAACTGTGTTGCCCTAGGGAGCGGTTCTCTTTGTAATTCACCGCACTCTTCCTCGCCAACTTGTGCGAAGAGAGATGAAAAGAAGGGGATAGCGTTGTAGTTTGTCAGTGTGTTACCTTTTTTGCGTGTGGGCGTGAATAGGATCTTTTGCACACTGACCCTCAATTGTTACACTTAAAAACTTATATACAAATATATATATATATATATATATATATATATATATATATATATATATATATATATATATATATATATATATATGTGTGTCTCTGTGTGTATATGTGTGTGTGTGTGTGGCGTATTATATTTAAGGATAAATGTACAAAAACTGGTGAATTCGTGCTGAACATGAACAATAATTTTTCATTTTTACTACTATTAGGTTGGTGCAAACGTCAAAAAACGACATTAATACGTCATTATTTTTGCACCAACCTAATAAAAGATTGACATTGTTTCTGGTGTTAACATTTCAACATTATTAGAGACGTTAGAGAAAATCTAAACCGTTTGAATTTTAAGGAAAATGTCAGTTTACGAGGCTTGAGTTCAAAAACACTCTAATGAAAAAAAGTCTGCGAGATTTGACATGTTATTGGATCTACGCAAATTTTTTCAGCGTATTTAATAAAGAAAAAAGAAACAATGTTTTGTATTCGGTATTTGATCTTTAAGTTTTAAAAAAAATACCTGGAAACTTTTGCATGCAGGTAACACCTTAAAATAATTTCTTTGTTTTCCAGTTTTAACATTCATTAGTTCATTAGTTGCTTCTTTTATGTGCCGTCTTTCCTACACGACCTGGGCGATTATTGCCCTCCACAACCTCCTATCTTTTGTATCACTTAGTAATCTTTTTTTTTTATTCTTCTACTCCATGCTCTGAAATCCAGTTATACAAGCGTGATTGGCATATTATTAACTGTTTTCCACTGTCTCTTTTTTCCTTTCAATATGTCTACTAAGTGCCATATTCACTATGCTCTCTTTCTTCATAATGTGTATCACAAATGTCAACTGTCTATTCCTTATTCTAAATATAGAATATTCCTTTTGCCTCCACTTTCTTTAAAACTTGCTCATTACTCACATGTTTAGTCCACGTTATTCTCAACATATGGAGGCACGCTGGAGTAATGGATAGCGGCACAGATTCGAATTCAAGTTGTGTTCATTGCATTTACGTGCTAATACTCTTGGGAAAGGTATGAATCCATCTTTTCCTCTCCCCTCTATGGGTAAATTGTATGACAGACTAGGCCCTATAGCCTTGGAGGGACGGGGTAGTATCAACATGAGGCAGCTGAGATGTGATTCTACAGAAGGATGCTAAGGATATCATGGAACGAGCGTGTGAGCAACCATGAGGTCTTAGAATGGATGCAAACAAGGAGGAAGCTTATACTTAACATAAGAGGCAGTTGAAATTTCTGGGACGCGTAATGTAAAAGAAGGGTCTGGAGAATCTGATACTCACGGTTTGGACAGAGGGAAAAAGAGACAAGGGAAAGCAACGCATGACATAACTGGCGGGCTTAAGCAAGTGGATGGCATATCGTGGTCTGGGGGAGTTGGCAGAAGCACGAAACTTATTGAGAGCCACAAGGATAGGGGAAGTGGAGAGCCATGATCGCTTACGTCCTGAAAGGACACGGTACATAAAAAGAAAAGAAACCATTGCACTATTTCGTCTTGAATAACATCATGAACCACAGCTGTGAGATGGAGGGGGTGCTGACTACAGCGGCGCAAAATGCGTTAAATGAATAAATTATGATGATGGTTCTCAGTATTCTTCCGTAGAACCACGTATCTTTTGTATCAAGACTTGTAGGGAAATTTTACAGCATCCACAAAAATATGCTGTGAAATCAGCTGGATGAACTTTATAAAACGAAAAAGTATCCCAATCTCATGTGAACGCGAGAGAATATGAATAAGGTTTGCTGTCGTTTTGTTAATTAAAACATTTTACAAGTAAACCGATGTTTTTTGAGCTTTGTGTGTTATATTCATATTCCCTCACTCTCCACGTTCACCTTCATCAATAGCTCATATTCCACGCCCTCATCCATCTGCCCCTCATCCATTACGCCCACATTCATCAATCACTAAAATACCACACCCACGTTCCATCATCCGCCACACCCGCATTCATCAATCGGTCACAACCTGAATATTATACTCATTTCACAAAATTTGGTGGAATCCTTATGGATTATAATTCATCGACGTCTAAATCAATCGTGAATATTCGATTCTGTTTTGCCTCGAAATCAAAAATGTATGCCTTACCAAATGCAAGAATGGCAACATATGTGCGTCGTTCCGGCATTTACAGTTGTAAAGGAAATGCCTTCCTCTTGTGATGTCAACGAACACTCGTTGTCACTTTTGTAATGTCCGTTGTAGTAGAGACTTTGCAATCGCAGATAGTACGCCGTTGAACAATACTGGCGTCAGACGCTTTCTAATATCATTCGCACTAATAGCACTTGCTTGATAATACTCGCTCGAATGGTAATCCGTATAGTGATCAGAATAGAGAAACAGTATAGTGAATAGAGTAGAGAATAGCGGTCCGTATAGTAATCAGAGGATAGAGTAGAAATGGTGATCCGAATAGTAATAGAGGATAGACTAGGAATGGCGATCAATTAGACATACGCTACCACCCATATATGCGTTTCCTCTAGGATCACGTGATCTACTTAATATCAATAATGGGATCGCCTGTGTTTGCTCACTGGCGATCTATGTTCAAACTCAAGTGTCGGCAGCGACACTTTATTCCTATATAACACTTCCTGACGAAAAAAAGAAAAAGAAAAAGATTTTGTTGTTTAGTTCATTGTCTTTTCTATAAATGTCACGCCTTCAGGCTGTTTCGCTCCTTTTTTTTTTTTTTTTTTTTTAATTTCACCCCAAGCAAGGTAGGTGTGCCACTACCACGCAAGGGGTTACAGACAGCAAGAGCAAAAGTGAAGAGGCGTGATAGAGGAAAGGATGTAGAGAAGGACGGGGAATTAGATCAAGGCATCTGATGTTGATTGACATTGCATTTGAATAGTTGGAGATTATAGCTCTCAGGGAAGCAAGTAAGAGGAAGGGAGTTCCACAGACAGGTAGTGTGAGACATGAAGCTATTGGAGTAGAAGAGACGGCTACATTTAATCATTTCAAGAGTGAAAGGGTGAGGATGGGATGCTGACCTAGTGGCACGTTTAAATTATGCAGTTTGGGAACTAGCGAAAGTAGTTCGTCGGAGCAGTTACTGTGAAAGTATTTGTAGAAAAGACAGGGAAGCGACGGCACGTCTGTGAGAGAGCGACTGTAAACGAGATTCTAGATCAGAACCAACCACATTGCATATCCGTCTCTGGATTTTGTCGATGACCTCCAGAGCATATATGGCAGCAGTATTTTATGCAAGAGCGAATGGTTGATTTATAGATTTGAAAGATGGACTCGAGCGAGAAAAACTTTCTGGCGCGACACAGAGAATCAACTTTCCTTGCGGTAGATGAAGCTATTGATTCAATGTATTTGTTCCATCTCAGGTTAGCAGACAGTGTGAGACCAAGCAGTCGCAGAGAGGTGCTCTCGTGAAGTTGAGCATCAGACATTCTAATGGGAGACAGGGAGGGTTCTCTGTGGTGTATAAAGTAATTTGGATTCAGCTGGCAAGTATCTTAGGCAAGCAATGTCTCATTTCACAATTCAACTCTACGAGATTAAAATTAAAAACTCAGCCATATGAACCCCCAAAAGGATTAATGACTGTACAGTGACGTGCAGATGTTTAGTGATGCCTTGGGCCAACTCCTTGATTGTACGTCCCTAAGACTCAAGTAAGGGGGCTATAGTGCCTAGTACTGAGAATCATGAGAACGGAAGACGTTTTAAATATGTAGAAAGAGAGGAAACATGAAATAAACACTTTATTCAAACTAAATTTTTATTTTCACACTTTGATTAGATGTCCCCCCCAATATGGATGCCCGGAGCCATCGCAATCTCTGCTCCTACTTCTGCACGCTACTGTGACTATAGCTAAACTCGAAACCACTTCCGACATTCAAATCTTTAATTGAAACCTCTATAGTCGATATAAACGTGTGTCTACGTGTGTGTACTTCAGTTATGTTTAAGGATTGTCTTTAACGAAGACAGGAATGCGGCAGGTGTGTCGAATCCTGTTCCCATTCAAAGACGTCGGTTTCAAGATGGAATCAAAACAAAGTGGCGTATGGAACGGCTTATGACACTTGCTTCGTCGACGGGTAAAATTGTATAGGCACCGGCGTCAGGAGGACGCAGGGAAAGATGAGCGCGTTGCGTGCATCCACCTGCGCGCGTATTAACGGCCACATATTCAATTCACAGGTGAAATAACCATGTCATTTTTTTAAAACTGATATATTAATAGATGTAAAGCGACTCCTTCGTAGAAGTGGTCGATAAGAACTAATTGGCTGAGGTCGATAGATATAAGCAAATTATTGATATCGATCTGAACAGACAAGTAGGGAACAATTTAGAAGTGTATCACTATTAAGATTTTGAGTTACATCAAACTAAGCTAAAGTAATGGTTAACAAGCTAGTTTTTGTAGATCACAGCTGGTATAACCAGTTCGATCCTAAGTCGAACTACAGTGACATTGCACCATTCTAAATATCTACATGCCTTTTCGTGGCTGATAGTTTAAGTGTAAGCCAGATTTTCTGCCAGAGATTACAGCCATTTATCCTCGATCCAGAAAGCCAGCTATGTCGGACATGTAATGGTTTTGAAACAATAAACTGGATAAAGTATCTTTTCTCTACCAGAATCTTTAATTTCGGATACCGTCCTTGATTATAATTTATGTAAGCAACACTCTTGTTCTTCCAGGAGAAAAAAGCGCTTACTGCAGAAGAACAAGTCTGTGGTTCATAGGAGCCTTAATAAGTTCTTAACCTAATGAGAAAACTTAATGTATTTCTTATAGAACACAAATATTTTTTGACATGATCGCATTTCTTGATAATGCCCTTAATAGTGAATAGTAATGATACAGATCGAAAAGCAAAAACATCAAATCAAAATTCAGCTAACAATTATGTGCCCGGTCACGATCTTGTTAACGCAGTCTTGGTAAGCGGACTTTAGGTGGTATATTAATAGAAAAGAATGTTTTATAGGTAGGTGTTCAAATTTAATCAATGAAGCACTGACGATGGCGTTTAGCATGAAACAGATTGTCGCCACTGGGTGTTGACATCAAAGTCCACTTTTATATATAAGGCGCTCTCGGGCCGACTTTAGGCTAGCTCACGTGGAGGGCTTTTAGGCCTTTTACCTTCAGCATCCTATCTAAGTAAAAGTTATAAGAATTTAGAAATAATAAAAGTATTTTATCTTTATTCGAAACCTTAATTCGGCATAATCTTTCTTTGTATACGCAACCGATCTCTTTAAAACCACCATTTTTTACGACCCCTTCACATAAAGTCAATATTAAAAGATATTAAGGAATCCGAACTATGTAATATTTCGAATACGTCACAGTCAGCATGCTAGAAAAAGAAAATATACGTGCAAAGTACAGTGCCCCTCTTAAATGTTAATTACGGTTTAATTAGATGATATCAATTGCAATTGCGACGAAAAGCGAAATTAAAGTTAAACTTTTAACAAAGAATTGTTTTTAAAGCATTCACTCTGTTCAATATTTAAATTTAACTGTAAATGAGTTATTTATTTAATTTTTAATCGCGTAAAACTACAGTAGTTACTACCTGATTCTTCAGGGTGTTTATGATTCGCCCAGAGCGAAAAACGAACGAACGGACGGACGGACAGACGGACATACGTAAACTGCGCCTTACGACTACTATCCCCAAGCCGCTACCACCCAGAGCATTAGAAGTCGGTTCAAGCAAGGATATACAAGTGATAGAAATTATTAGGTAGTCGTAGCTCGTGGGGGCACAGTACTATGGGTTAGGGAAACTCGGATCAGTTACACCGCGGAAGATGTGAGCGAGCGGCGCTATACCGAGTCTAATTCGTTACCTCTTCGTCACCGATGCCCGTTGGTACAATTGGTATGTCGCTTGCGTCGCATCGTAATGATCCGGCTCAAATTCTCGATAGTGAATGCGCACTGCTGATGAGTGCCAAATATAGGATGAAAACGGCCGTCCAGTGCTTTTAGTAAATTTCATATATATATATATATATATATATATATATATATATATATATATATATATATATATATATATATATATATGTACCTAGTATATATATATATATATATATTATATATATATTTATATATAAATATATATATATATATATATATATATATATATATATATATATATATATATATATATATATATATATGAAAATATATAGTATATATATATATATATATATATATATATATATATATATATATTATATATATATATATATATATATATATATAACAATATATAAACCTAGTATATATATATATATATATATATATATATATATATATATATATACTAGACTGCCCCCCACACACACACAAAAACAAACGAATATACATAATCATCCGAATCATGCATAGGCAAACTATAATTATGATACATATACACACATGAATTATAGAGACGAACGCTGCTTGACATCACAGATTCACGTGAGTTCTCATTAACCAATGAAAAACTAACAACAAAAAATTCGAAATACCAGAAATTTCTTTTTCATCTCCATATTTCGTTCTCTGGTGATATTTTAATAAAAGAAGAACATATTTTATTTATAAACGTTTCCTATTTATTCCTTATCCTATGTTTTTTGTTTTGCTTTTTTTCTTGTATAAGGAGATTAGCCTGCCTTTTTTCACATTCAATGCGTTTATGTATAGATTATTGAGCATCTTAGATGTTTTGTGGGTAACATCATAAGTGTTCATTTTCTTTTTGTTTTCGCTGTCTACACTGACATCGAGGCTGTGAATCTCTTTAAGAACAGAAATTTCATTTTGATAATACTTTCTTTTGCCGTAGGTTTACCATATTATAGTTATGCAGTAGAAATTCTTTTTATAAAAAAAAAAACATGTGTCCAAAGAAGACATTTTTCAAAACTCACCTATTAACTGAATTCGAACTTTCATAGCTTCAGGCAAAAGACAAGCACAAATCAAGAGCAAAAGGCCTTATCCTCTGCTGGGAACACCGGTTTAAATCGTAATGAACAATGTTCCAAATATGAAAGGATTACTTCTGATTTGAAACAAAGCCAAAAGATACGGAAATAGGGGACAAGATTGTTTAGAGCCAATCTTTTGCATTCCATGAGAATCGGGATCTTAAAATTTATTTTTTACCTGGCCTCGAACATCAAGCAGGATAATCTACGATAGCAACAAGTGACCATTATAAAATAGACGACGTGAGCCAAACAACGTTCACTTTTTACAAACACACATTCTTTTCATTTCTTTCTTTCTCACACCCACCGCAATGCCGTTTTCACACCCTACCCCAACGTCTTTCCTTAACCACTCCAACACACTTGTCCATCTCAACCGACGCAAATATTTAAACTATATTTTTACCAAAAATGCAAAAGACGTTTTAGAGATGTTTTGGGAGAAATAAAAACTGGTCGGGTGGACGCTTTTATCGTTGTGGGCATGTCGAGTGGGTCGGGGTCGGGGGAAAGAATGTGCGTCATACTGACAACATTTAGGAAGATAAACTGGAAAATGGTATTTTAGATATGTTGCTTGTTCGTTCTTTTTCTAGTTTTAAATAAAAGGAGTTGCGTCATGTTTAAACTTACGTATAGATCAGCCCAAAAGCATACATAAAATATAGAAATTAAGACACGCACACACACACACACACACGTTTGTGCGTACACACACGTGTGTACGTGCGTAGATGAAGATTTTTATCGAAGAAAGAATCTGTCAAAGAAGCAAATACAGGGAATTTCCTGGAAGGTTAAGTTGCGATAATAGGAAACTGTAGGATTAAATTCTGCTTTCTTCATTTTTCTAGGGTTGGCTTCGCGAACAAAGATCTCGGAATATTCACGTTTATTGCTGGCTTGTTGCATCTGAAGCAAAAGGTTGCTTTTCTTGAAAGGAAAAACGATGGCTGAGCAAAAGGTGCTTGCGGCTAAAATGTTATACACTAGCAATTTTGGGATGTCTTTATTTTCGCCAAACTTGTCGTTGCTCTTAGTAAAAACCACCAGGATTTGCCTCTGGTTTGAGATTATCCAAATTACCTCAGCCGAAAAGTCTGTGAGGCAGGTGGGAACCCTGGGATTTGTCTGAAATTCATCTTTCTTATTAACTAACCGGACTTTGATAAACACAGAACTTCTTCCTTAGAACGTCTAAGTCTTGAGTCTAAAGTAGGGGACTGGGTTTACTGCGAATGAGTCGATGATTCGTATGACACTCAGCGCCACTCGAGAGAGCATGACGTCTATGAGATCTCTCTTGATAAAATCTAGTGTTTTAACCGTTGGCGCCATCATATTTTCTTTCGGTTTTCTTTCTGCTGGAAGATGCTGTTGGTCATCATTGGCTGCTGCTATGTACAGAACTCCAACAGTTGTTAATTCAGTTACCAACCGCATGTTCAACAACTAATTTCCAGGATTCGGAATCTCGGCCTAATTTAGCGTTGAAATCCCCAAGCATCATTGTGTCAGCTGCACAGGTCAGTGTAGAACTTGTTCAGTTCTGCTTGATGAGTTGAAGAATAGACGATGAAGAGTGTGGCATGGAGTATGGCGATAATGTGGTCTGAGTAAACTATTGGTACAATTTTTAGTTTGGTAGCGATGGAGTTTCTGACCATGAAACCTACCCCTCGTTACCTCTTTAGTTTGCCTAACCAGTAGAGTGTTCTAGGAGGCTGTCTTCCCCTGGGAAGTGAACTTCACTGAGAACAGCTATGTTGACGTTTACACTCATGGCGAGTACAGGGCCTTCATACGCAACGTTTTCTTTTGGTGAGGGTGGAATGGAATGTGCGCTGTATACACCTAACCCCTTAACAGAGAGGGTTCATTTGCCATGGTTTAACGTGGTCTTTGAGTCATAGTTTTTATATCGGACACTCCGCAGGTTTTGAAATCAGAGTTGTCCATCCAAGCCTGTAGAACCCAGTCTGTCCTGCTATTTACCCCATAGCTGGAGGGAGAAGAAGAGGTTTATACCTTTCCCAAGGGTATTAGCACATAATTGCTAATACCCTTGGGAAAAATATAACTGAATTTGAACTCGGCTCTCAATTCCTCAGTCCCAGTCGTTATCTAATACTCCACCGTGCCTAATATATATATATATATATATATATATATATATATATATATATATATATATATATATATATATATATATATATATATATATATATATATATATATATATATATATATATATATATATATATATATATATATATATATATATTAGGTATATATATATATATATATATATATATATATATATATATGGGTTTGGAGTATATATATATATATATATATATATATATATATAGTTTGTGAGTTTATAACTCTGGGTTTCACGCTTTTGTGATCATCAAACTGATTGTTTGTCTTCTGATCGCAAAAGCGTGAGACTCAGGGTTCCAAACTCACATCCATACAACTAAGTATGTTATCTCTAGTGTGTGTGTGTGTGTATATATCATCTCACATATATTCATGTACAGACTTACATAAATATACACACACATATATATGTACAAATACACACACGTATAAACACACTTCAGTTTTGACCAATTCAAATCAAGACGCAATTATCCTCCCTCCTCCTTATCATCATAAACTTAATTTCCTCTGCCTTCTCTTCAATTCATATTACACACGTAATTCAACATTATCAATTTGACTCTAAACCTCTTGTGTACTGGGTAAAATTCATATAGTGATATTTATACCTTGACCTCTGGAGGAAAAAAGAGGGACGTCGACACAACCTCAGTTCATTGTTAGGGGTAGTGAAGTATGCAAGTCATAAACGTTCAACCCCTTGAAGGATTTGAACCCGCCATACACTACCTCCCAAGGACATTCTTGTCTAATTAAGTTTAGACCAAAACCGCGATTTGAACACCTACCAAAATTATCTCTAAAAGTTGTGTCTACAGAAATAAAAACTTTCGTAATAAATATAGGAACAAAAACATATTTCTTCCTCAGAATCATTTGAATGTTTCTGACCGGTGGATTGCTTTATTTATCTATCTATCTATCTATCTATCTATCTATCTATCTATCTATCAGTGTATTTATATCTATCTCAGTTTGTTTATATCTAAATATAAAGATAAATGTTTGCCTCTAAAGTTATGCATATTTGTATACGTATACATTTCAAATTGTCCATATCTCTCTCTCCCTCCCTCTCTCTATGTACACGCACACGCACACACGTGAATGCACTTCTCATTTAACTAGATATATGTGGAAAAAACTTTCTCCTGATGTTGACTGACAACATTAAATATCGGAAAATAATCCCAGATGGTGTAGAAAGAAGATGCAGTTTCACACCCTAAAGTGTTGCCCATAAAACATTTGGGGCCGAATACAATTATCTGATGTTTTTCATTTTGCTTTTATATGCATCGAAGATTTTTTTGACAAGTTTGGATTAATGATAACTTAGTATATCATCAGTGATTCATTCCCTGGTGATGTCCTCCATTTTATATATATATATAATATTAGTGGTAAATATACACATACATATGCAAAATATATAAATATATATACATAGATGCATACACATACATATATATTTTGTGAATAAAAAATTCCAAGAGGATAGAATCCAGGTAGAACTCAATGTCCAGGACAGCGTAAGGATATAATAAAAAGGCTTAAACACTAATACCATGACCATGGAATATTAGTGTTTAAGCCTTTTTATTATATATATATATATATATATATATATATGGAAAACCAAACAAGATAATATAGACCCCATCCTTAAATGGGAAATATTAAAAAAATGCCCAAAATTTAAAGCAGGCCATAAATTTTGCAAATTATGTGCTGAGGAGAAATTAGCCATAGCTTTATATGATCAACCTAACCAGCTATTAAACTCTAAAACTGAAATTCTCAATGTATGTAGACATAAAAAATTTTGGCTACTAAATTAGATGTTTTCCCGTTATTGACTTTCCAATGAGGTTTTTTTTTTTTTTGTTGAATAAATATTCCCCCCCCCACTTAGGTTTTTGTTTTGTTTTTTTGTTTTTTTATTTTGTCACGTGGTATGATTTTAGCTATCACCTATAAATATGTGTTTCTCTTTGCCTCGTTAGCCAAACTTTCCCTGACGATCCGTTTAGGTGAAACAAATTTTTACTACGTTACTTAAAATCGAAAACTGAAAAGATTAAATACTAATAAATTAAATAAAAAAATAAAAAATCATCAAAATAAATTAATCCGAATAAAGTAAATAATAAGCAAATTAACAAACCACTCCCCACAAAATAACCATTAGAATAGACTACCCACAAAGGAATAGACTACCCACAATGCAACACTGATATATAAATAGTCGAGAAAAACACAACGCATGTTGCCTGACGATTGCGTTGAGGCAGGCGATACGGCGATATGCGCTGTCGATCTCTGTTTTGGCAGTATGAACGCGGATGAGGCTTTGACGAAGGGCAAAGTTTCGTCTCTCAGTATTTGGGATTATTTTTGGTTAAACCCACGTTAAACGCTCGGTCTTGTGCCACATACATTCCTCGTGGGGGGACTGTTAAATATCGGCCTGATGCTGGCGCTTCCACTACTGAGAATTGAAACCCTGACAGTCAGGTTATTAAGCAAACATCATACCAACTGTTCCAATGCTATCAAATCCTCCTAATAATAACTATCTGTGTATATCATTGCTTGAATCGGCTTCTAATGCTCTAGAGCGAGCCCGCTTGGTGAGAGTAGTCGTTGCTCCATAGGGCACAGTCACAGTCCTATGGTTACAGAGAACTCAGTAGAGTTCCACCACGGAATATGTGAGCGAGCGGCACTATATTGACTCTGATTTGCAATTTCTTCGTCACCGAGCAACAGTTGGTATGATGTTTGCTTGACAACATAACTGTCAGGGTTTCAATTCTCGGTAGTGGATGCGCACTGCTGATGAGTCCCAAATATAGGACGAAACGGCCATCCAGTGCTTTCTGCATTCTGTTGAGGTTTCTATCAGACTCGATGAATGAATGAATTAATTAATTATATATATATATATTTAATGAAAAACAGACCACTTTAAGGTACCATTACAATAATTTATTTCACCAAAATCCTTTTTAAAGGATTCCGGATGATCAGGTAACACTTCCAACAATGAAAACCTTAAAAAGGATTTTGGTGAAATAAATTATTGTAATGGTACCTTAAAGTGGTATATGTTTTTCATTAAATATTAGCTCTGTTCTTCACATTGAGCTCTCAGGATTTCATCCTCCTTGGATTTACCAATTCGGTTTACCAAGTTCTTCATAACTTAATATATATATATATATATATATATATATATATATATATATATATATATATATATATATATATTGCTACGAGACTTACCAACAACCAAGAAGCGATACACGTTAGCCTCGAATAAAATGCAACAGGTATATATCAACGATTAGAGATTGAAACAGAAACCATTACAGCTATCAAAAAAGATAACCTGGCATATTTCAATCTGTCCGGCACGCTAAAGACTTCTATCTTGTCATCGAGACAATAGGTGGATCCTCATAGTCGTCAAAGTAAACGGAAATGAGTGGTGAGAAGGCGAAGAGACAAGGTAATGCGCAGCAGAGGGCAAGCTTGGTCAAGCAATGTCAAAAATGATTTGTGTAATAGAACACGTAAGCATTTCCTTCTTTGGGGAATGTGAGAAAAAGGCCAGGTGATTTTGTTGCGGCCGATGAACCTACCATATTTGAATGAAAAATTCTGTAGAACCCGTTTTATCCTCTGAAAAGACTTCATCAGACTGAAATAATGTTCTTGCTGACAGACATACGCATTTTTAGGAGGAAGGAGGTTGATAGAATAAGTTCCAAACGTTGGTTATAATTATGTCCTGAGAAAACTCACAGAAGATCTGAGAAAAAAATTCATCTATTTTGGCAGACTTTCTGTTATCACGATGTGAGATATTTAAAAAAAATGGAGCACAGAAGATAGAAGCACGTAGTAAGATTGTTGCATGATGCTAAGCTTATAGAAAAGACAATAATTTAGTTTCGTTTTGTTAGGCAAAAGCTAATATTTGGAATGCTGATTTTTAGAGCAAGCCTATTTACAGCCTTGGACCAAATCAATTCTAGTGTTATATCAAATATTTAATTCTATGATGAGGAGATGAGAAGCAAGAGGACTTTCGGGTTTGAAATCAAACATTGCCGTGAAGATGAAAGACGAAAAGAATAAATCTCACACGAAACCAAATGAATGTAAGCTAAAAATGCAATCAATAAGGTTGAAGAATAAAATGTGATGCAAGTCGTATACAATAGAAGGCATTCCAACGAACAGTTTTTTTGTACTTATATTCAAAATATGACGCTTTGGAATTTCAGTTAGAGCTTTTTTATTTTTTTTATTTTCGTTTTAAAAAATATCAGGACTCACTTGTTATGACGCGTGTTAGAGAGAGAGAGCGAGAGAGAGAGAGAGAGAGAGAGAGAGAGAGAGAGAGAGAGAACAACAAGAAAGAGAGAGATGATTGCCCGTCAACTGACGTCCCGAAAACTCGATCGTTTCAGACGTGGCCAAGTAAATCACAGAAATGTCCTTGCCCATTTGGGAGATTTCGTCATTGGATATCTTTTCTCCTTCATTTCTAAAAGAGGCTTGATGATCGCATTACGTGGGGAATTTGTGCTTGTATCAATCACTAATTCTGTCAGCCAGTTTTACAAGGTCGACTCACCCCACGGTGGGAGGGTCATCAGTCCACAACTCTACGATCTACAATTTAACCACAGGTGCGCATTGAATTCCGTTTTCGGTTCTTAAGTGCTTCTCTTCAATCTAATTTCTCGTTATGGGGTGGGGACAGCAATTTTCTCCAGGGGACGGAAAGGAGGTGGTGGGGAGGGTAAAAAATAACAAGCCAAACAGCTTTATGGCGATTTCAGTCATTACGTTAATATCTCAGGGAATTTAAAGCTGGGGATAAAAGGATTAGTTTCAGTTATTTCAAACAGAAATGTTTGTTATAGGCATTCACTTCTGCAACAGATATTTACTAAGTTCAGCTCGGCACGAGGCCAAATGAGGGAAAGTGTGGGTCCAATTACACCAAGTGATTTTAATCGGGACAACCTGGTAATCTTGAAAATTAGCGTTAGAAATTTTAGCCTTTCAAGAAAGCTGCAAAGTTCATCTCTGACGCAAATATCAATAGTAAAATCTCAATAATGTGGCAAACCATATTTCAATGACCGTTTGTACAGGGTGTTTCATTAAGACGGATCAAAGTCAGCAGTAAATAAATCAGTGTCATTGATAAAAATTTATTTATTTCTCTATTGGATCTTGTTATTTAAGTCATCACAATTTTGTGTGAAAAATTATATCGCCCAAATGTCCGCCAAATCTGAAAAGAAAAGAAAAAATATCATTAGACGCTTAAGTTTTATTCAAATTTAAAATCAGTGCAAGTTATTGGAACACCCTTTATTTAAAAAGTCACAATGCAATAATAGGATAAACATCTGTCTCTATTTCTAAGATAAGGTATTGTAACTCTTTATATTATTTACAATCTACCCCAGTGGACGAAATAAAGGGCCCAGTTCGGAACGTACAACGACCGAAAGATCGTGAATATGACAACGATGAGGACAATAGTCCCAACAATGTAAATAGTGTAAATAATAGAATAAACGTATTTAATTTCAAGTCAAGGTTGAGTGTTGGGAATATGATGGCAATACTGAAATTCTCACACGCTGTTGAAACTAAGTTAGATTCACACCAGGTGGTTAGAACATCGACTAATTTAGCTTATTAACTTATTAAGCAATTTCAATTCACGTTTTATGTGCGGCCGATAGCAATTCATGGTTCCGTTAAGTAAAGATTCATTTGTGGTCAATTCATCTTCAGTCTGTGAGGTTTGTTGAGTTATAAGAAGCCTTTACAGTATCGACTTTTATATATTTTTCTATCAATTATAGAAAATATAAAGGTAGAGGATAACATGAGGAATCAGGTACTTACTGGTGTGGTACAGAGAGTTAAGCATTTCATCTGCATCTTTAACGATAGGTCATATATAGGAGTCCCACTTGAGGTCGTTTGTGAGTTTCAGACCCAATATTCTCCCAAGGCACGGGACCTCCTCAAGGGAATATCCGTCCATCGTGACCGGCAGTAGTTTGGGGTCTGATGGAATGTAACCTGTGATGGAATGTATCCAGTATATATATATATATATATATTATGGAATTTGGGGGATTTAGGCAAATCATTATAGTAATTCATCGAGTCTAGAAGAATCCTCAATAGAATGCAGAAAGCACTGGACGTTACGTTTCGTCCTATTTTGGGGACTCATCAGCAGTGCGCATCCATTCATTTGTGGTCAAATCATCTTCAGTTTGTGAGGATTATCGACTTTTATATATTTTTCTATCAATTTTAGAAAATATAATAATAAAGTAGATTGTTAGGATCAAAATGAAAAATAGAATTGGAGAAAAAGTGTCAAAACCCTGCCTTTAATCATGACATTATCACGAAAGTAACGTGCGTGTGTAATTTGAACTTGGATCACTAAATTAGTTTTTAGGAAGATCAGTTAGCACATCACAATGCTTTAGTGATGGTTAAGTTCATCTCTCAACCCAGTTTGCGAGTTCGCTATTTTCTGGCTACCAGTGACCAAACCAAAATCTGTCTTATCGATACAACAGGTATGGTAAACTATTTTTTTTTTATCGATTCTTGTTTCCTGTGGTTAGTGGTGCTTTATTGCAAACAATAAGAAACCGCCCACACCTGTATCCTCACTCATTCGTTTCAGATCTCATCATGATGAAGCACAAACTAAAAGATAATTGGAGTTTGGAAGGAAACCTCCAAGATCCATGTTTATACTTTGTCAAAAGCCGCTAAAAGAGTTCACATTATTCGGATGAATATAAATTTAATAGGTTTTATCTGAATATCGTTAGATAAGATATTCTACATTTTATTGCATCGTCTTGACTTTTGTTTTCTTCTTCATTTAATGTTTCGGTCGCTTTAAACTCCGATATTTGTTGGGTGTCTTTTTTCAGCTTTTAAAAATTAAACCTTTTTTTGCTGGTGGGACGTTTCTAAACATGTCACAATCGTAGATTATCCGAGCAAGGGAATACATTGAACTTAAACACATTACTGAATGATTCAAAACAAGATCTAAGACAAAGTGACATCTTTTATTAGTATAGCAAGTAAGAATAGAACTGGCAACTATCAACTTGAGGAAATTTCCCTTGCACTTTGAGCGAGGACTTCATTTAAGCAGTTCAATTATGAAAACATATAATATCAAACTTATATAAAGAACTAAATAAGGTCGCTCATTGAAACTGTTTTTATGGCCAGGATGCGTTTCCGGTGAAATTCTTCTGTTGTAAGTTTGATCCTTTTAAAGGGAAAAAAGAAAAATAGAACGTTTAGTTTGTTTAGGGGCGGTGGGTGTTACGAGAGCGGGTTACGGATTATTGGACAAGCATTTGAAATATTAGGCACTTCCGGACGTGATAAGAATCGAGAAGAAATAAAAAAAATCTAGTTCCTAGATACTTTCCGAAACAATCCAAGCTGATAGTAGCATTGGGTCCCATTTTGCATAAAGTGGAGATGCAGATGAAAAATTCTCGTTTTACTGCAAATTGATTAAATTTAAAAACTTGACTTTAGATGTTTAGGCAAAAACACTGATTTTTTTTTTATTTCTATTAAGTTTGGCTAATATGGTAATCTACATATAATAAAGAAAAGGAAGGTGTGGAGAGTCATGATAAGAAAGGACAGATCATATTTCTTAACAAGTTTCTCAAAATTTAGAAAAAGAATTAAATTTTAATTTAGAAAGAAAGTAGAAACTACTTTTCTGTCATGGGTAAAATAGACGTTCACATTTGGAATTATGAACGTATTCTATGGAATTAAAAAAAATCAAAAGAAATCAAAATCAAGGAAGACTGGATAATCTGAAGAAGGCTGTAAATATTTTCGGTTGAAACGAAATGAAAATTATCAATAATTAAGATACCAATCTGAATGATTCGGTGACTAATAAAAATGCTTCATTTAAAAATCACAGACATTTTAATTTTAGATAATGCCATAAAATCTTTGGATGTTTCTATTTTTATTGTTGGCTGTCGGTGAATAATTGCATCAAAAGGTTTTCTTTTCGCCGTTTATCTCCTGCAATTTTTCTCTCTTTAAATAAAGAAGGGGGATTTATTTTCTCTGATGGCAGTTGACGAATGGATACTGAAGGAGAACCATTGACATCTAAATCCATCTTACAGACGTTTTGTTAACTGCTGAGCCAAGTTGAAGAGTGCAAGCTAAAATCCAATTCAAAGTGTTTGCTTTTATCTCAATCGACTCACTTAGGAGAAGAAAAATTTTCATTCTCGTTTGCTTATGGCCAATTGTATCATTTTAAAAATCCGTAAAAGTATTTTCTTTGTCGCTAAAGGGATCTGAAGTTCTCTCTATAAAGGTGAATTGTTAGGAGACATTAGGAAGCACTCAACCTCGAAAAACGAGAATGTAAATTTAGAAAATTGCTAATAAGGCACTCCTCGGTGCAACATAAAATCTACAGTATTTACGTGTCCGAAATAAAGACCAACATTGGAGAAGAAAAAAATACGAATTCTTTTTACAGTTTCATGATATTTTTTCTTTTCTTCTTGGTTGAACATTGATATTGTGAAGTGGATAGTAGAGAAAAGGTAGGTAAAATCGGAAGAGAGAGAGAAAGAAAGAGAGAGAGAAAGAGAGGAGACAGGAAAGAGAGGGAGAGAGAGGGAAGAGGTAGGGAGAGAAGGAGGAATGAGTAAGAGAGATATATGGAATGAGAGAGAGAGAGGGACCTAGAAAGAAAGACGGAAATGGCAGAGAAGGAAGGGAGGGAGGGAGGGAGGGAGAGAGAGATAGTGGGGGAGAGAAGAGCTGGGAGAACAAATAAAAAAAAAATTCCTTTTTCCATACCTGCTCCCGTTCCACCATTTTACCATTTCTTTTTCTTTCTTTTCCCTATTTGTCACTCTTGAAAATGTCCCCTAAATGCCATAGGCTGTCAGCCAATACCCATAAGCCTAACCCTAACCATAACACCTACACATTGCCGACTGCATCCAAGCAAACCTGAATTCTTTCCAAAGTTGCACGTGCCGCGCTGGTCTAGGGGTTGGGAATGCATAGCTGCTACGATCTTTTGCTTCAATTCGAAAAAAATGTTTGTTCTCTTTGTCAAAACTTTACACAATACACAAATTCGCATCAATTATGTTAAAATTAGCACAGGCATGCCACCTGATAGACTGACCGTTCTGGCTTTGATTTAAGGTTTTCCATGTCGTTCAGGTGAGTGCCAAA